AGAGAGAGAGAGAGAGAGAGAGAGAGAGAGAGAGAGAGAGAGCTCCTTGCTTTAACCTGGTAAGACATTGACAGATACTAGTTGAACAGCGAATCAATTCGCAGATATCGGTTTGGTGACTAAGCACCTTTAGCAAGTGTCAAACAGTCGTTGGCTGTCTGTGCGGATGGCCACGCACTCTAAGGGAATCTTGGTCTGTGGTGGGACTTCCTGTTGCATTTGGATTTGTTTCGAGCAGAGTTTCGCACTCAAGAAACAGAATTGAACTCCAGATCCCGCAGGTTATCAGTTCTTGGACATTTGCATGGACAACTAGCGGATTGCTCGGGGTACACACCACAAGTCGGAGTGAACTCTCATTTAGATGGACAACATGAATGCACACCATCAGCGAGGTGATACAATACGGATGTTGGCTTGTCATTTGCATCGACAAATCAATAACATAGATTCCAAACATTCACTCTTGTCATCACAAACATCGATCCCCTTCTTGACATGAGCATGTATAGGACTGTAAGACATTGGCATGAACATCGGAGATCGAAACACTTGCAAGGTCATCGGCGTGTCATTTCTTTGCATGCACAAGATACATAACATCCATTCATAACATTTACTCTTGTCACCGCAACGTGGAGATGGAAACACTCGCAACTTGCATAGTCTTTTCCTAATATTACACCTTCGTAGATGGAAACACCGCACGCAGAGTTGCGAGAAATGTTCAAATCACTGAACCGCACATTGCAATGTAGACAGGGGTTGTTTCCGGAAAAACATTCGAAGCAAAAAATAAGTAGTAGACAGAGGTTGGACAGGCAATAGTTGCAATAGGTGCGAGAGGCAACGTGTATGAAGTAGTAGATAGAGGTGCGAGAGGCAATAGTTGCAATAGGTGCGAGAGACAACGTGTGATTGACTGCATATCCACCATTTCAAGGTGCACATGCACATGCACATCATGTTCCAAAAGATTGTATTTTAACATGTTTTCCCTTAAACACAAGGTCTGACCACACGTCCGTAGGGTCTTTCGTTGGAGGACACCATCAGGAAGTGCAATGAGGCTCCCGAACTTTAACCTGTTGGCAAACTTGTAATGGCTTGCCCAAGGGCAGCCACGCTCCATCGCCTTCCAATCATTATCGTTCCATTCATCGAGATGCCAGTTCATGTACGGGACGACGGTCATCCATGGGTCCTCGTCGAAGTCCTCCTTGGTTGCTTCGTCGATCCACATTTGACCGTCATGATGCCGCACCGATCTTGCACAAGGTGAAAACGGTTTTGTTAAGCGCATGTGCTTCTCGGGACTAAAGCGCATGTGCGTCTCGGGACTCATGCTGACGCTTGTCGAAGGTCTCGACGACATTACGCTCCCTACACATCACGGACACACGAACGAGACATACAGACGTGTAGACCGTCGTAAATAAAGTTGGTCAATGATAAGTCGCCTTGTGCCGCCAACACTCAATCGTCACGCCCCGCACTATATATCGACAAGCTCCTCACTTAATCAAAGTGCGAGTGAACGCTCACTTAAGCAAAGTGCGAGTAAACTCTCACTTAAGCAAAGTGCGAGTGAACTCTTACTTAAGTCTGACCACACGTCCAGATCTAGTGACATTCGGGGTTCCCCGGGGGCAAGGTCGTGTACCGAAGCCATACAAAGCATTCATTGATGATCCGTACACGCGGATCCGCGGTTCGTCGACTGATGCACTCTCCGAAAAGACGGACATGTATTTCATCCAGACAAACACTCCCGGTCGTGCTAAGGAATTCCCTATACAGTCCCGTATGTCAGACACTTTCTCCTCAACCTCATGCGACAACGAAAAGTTTTGGACCCGCTCTGCTATCACCAAATCTCGCCACCCATCTACACGCGCAGGTCCGCGCGTCGGCACGAATTTAGACCCCTCAATTACCACCTCGTTGCGTGATACAAGCACAACTGCATCGACGAGTTTCCTGCTCTTGTTTGAAGCAGCGATACATAGAACTCCGGCGAAATCAGACCCGGACACAGTCAATCGCACACAACAGTATGACACAGCTTGTGGAGAATTCTCGGGGCACCGGAGTGGGTACTGCTCAAGGAACGAGCAGTGACGAGCGCAATCTACCAACTCTTGTTTCCGCGAGCCTCCCCAAGTTCGTGGCGACGACCTGACATAGTGGCACTCGAGGCGGCTGAAATGACGGCTAATGCAGCCCAGTGCTCTGCGCATATGGTTTAGGAACTTGTGTCCAAGGACAGGGTCAGACAGCGGGATGAGGTTCCCGAACTCCAACATGTTGGCGAACTTGTAATGGCTTGCCCAAGGGCAGCGACTCTCCATCGTGGCCCGATTCTCATCGCACCAACCGTCAATATGCCCGTCCATGCACGGGAGGACGGTCATCCAGGGGTCCTCGTCGAAGTCCTCTGCGGTCGCTCCATGGATCGTAGTTACACCGTTAAAATACCGCACGGATCTCGCGCAAGGAGGAAACGGTTCTACCAAGCGAATGTGCGTCTCGGGACTCATGGTCCGTGGTGTCGAGAAGATCGACTCCATGATTTGTGGTGTCGAGAAGGTCGCCTCCATTACGCACCCTACACACCACGTGCACATACCAAACGATACACACGGGCACGTTGACACTCTTGAACCTAGTTGGCGAACGGGAACTGTCGTGGCCACGCCCACACGCAGTCGTCAAGACATTTACTCAAGCGGATTGCTCGGGGTTCAGAGCACAAGCGCGAGTGAACTCGCAGTTAGATGGAGAGCCAGGTGGTCACACCACTGAAGTGGAATGCTCGGGGTGGACACAGCAAGTGCGAGTGAACTCGCACTTAGATGGAGAGATAGGTGCGCACACCATGAGCTCATGTGTGTAATGTATAAGGAAATCGGCATGTAACATCCGTTCAAAACTTTCACTTCTACCGATGACGACAGACCGGTGTGTACATGCGTTCATTCAAAGTTCGAACAGGCGACCCGAACATAAGACACTGCGGCGCATTGACTGGTGCATCTTCCGCGAACATAGAAATATATTTCATGCAAACGAACCCGGTACTTCCGGCCAGAGACCTGCCTGTAGCATCCCGTATAGAGGACGCTTGAGCTACAACCTCACGCCATGCGTCCACATCGTCCACCTTACCCCCGATTACCAAATCCCATGTCTCTTCCAATTCTATTGTGACCAAACCGATCCCGTCTCTCCCGAGGTGCAACTCATTCCTGGACACGTAGACCACAGCGTCAGTCAAGGTCCTATTCCGATTCGAACACGTGACGCAAAGGACCCTAGATAAGAATAACTTTCCGAGACACAATCTAACGCAGCAGTAGGAAACTGCTCGAGGCAACAGCCCTGGAGAGCGCAACAGGTACTCATCGAGGAACTCGGACTGTCGTGCACAAGCAAGCAACTCGTATTTCAGCGCACGGGACCATGTGCGCGGCGAAGATGTCACGACGTTGCAGGCCAACACATTGTGATACGAGCAATATTCAGCTTTGCACTCAAGCGACGACACCGAACTGAACCGAGCACAGCTCTAGGCACGAGAATGAAACTCCCAAACTCGCACATGTTAGCAAACTTGTAGTCGTCCGTCCACGGACACTCCCTGAGCATTTTGTCCCATTCATGCTCTTTCCACGAGTCGAGGGGAGCATTAGTGAACAGGGGGACCTTCATCCAAGGATCACACTCCATCTCGTCTCTTGTCGCACCGTTAATAACAGTGGAGTTTCCACTGCCGGAGACGCGCAGCGCGCATGGGGGAAAAGGGTATGCCATGCGCTCACGTCAATCAATCAGGATAATCAACTCCGACATGGCCATCGCAATCGGCAAATGCCCTGCAGGCCACAACAAAAAAAAAAAAAGCAAATGCTTTCACCCAGCTCACAGGGAAAGAAAATAACCATGCCCCCCAAGGACGGCCGTCGAAACTCCGATGACGGGCGTCTTGTTGAACACGACCACCAGCCGCACTGCACCCAGTCAGGCGAGAGGCACATCAACGGGCATGGCAGGAGAGAGAGAGAGAGAGAGAGAGAGAGAGAGAGAGAGAGAGAGAGAGAGGGAGAGAGAGAGAGAGAGAGAGAGAGAGAG